GAAACATTGTTCCTGAAAACACTCTGACAGGTGCAATTAGACACTTCATCTCTTTTCCAGAGATAGGAGACATTTTACACTTCCAGATGGGTCAAAATGTAGCCTTCAATCACACAGTTAATGTTAAGACACTATTATAAACTGTAAAATGAATTTACAGAGTTTTGATTTCATAAAACCATATAGTTATTTAGGTTGCAAGAAACCTTGGGAAAGTCCAAAGTTCAACCTGTAGCATAAAGCACAATCAGCACCAAATTTAACCAGGTTGTTCAAGGCTTTGTCTAGTTCAGTACTGAAAAGCTCCTTGGAGACAAACCTCACATTTTCACTGGGAAACCACACCAGTGCTTAAGTACACTTATTGAAATAATTTCTTCCTTATATCCAGTCAGAATATACTCTCTTCCAATTAATGAACAGACATATCTCTCTTCTAGGTAACTTTCCTTGGTACAGGCAGGCTGCTGTTAGGTGCTCCAAAGTTGCCCATGATCTGAAACAGCTATTTGTTATCCTGTATCAGTATGGGCTATCCCTATGCCTGGAGGAGGCTGCCCTGGAAGACCTATCAGCTCTTTTGGGCTCTGTCACCTTCACAGCTGCCTTCCACTGCACTCAGCCAAAGACCTGTGCTGGAGGCTGATTTTTATGACATTACTTTTAGAGTTTTACTCTGGTTTTGTTTGTTTGTTTCCTTTGGGTTTTGATTTTGTTCTTTTTTTTTCTTTCCTGTTTTTTTTTTCCCAATCCTTTTTTTTTTTTGGTTTTGTTTGGTTTGGGTTTTTTTGTGAGTTTTTTAGAGGTTTGTTTGTTTGTTTTGTTGGGGTTTTTTAAGTCAAGAATTCTTTTCAGTTGGGAAAAAATTATGAGACATATCAGAGAAGTCAAAATGTATTTGACTGATAAATGCAAAACAAAATGTACTGCTAAAAAGCATTGTCTTTTTTCTTGTTTAGTTGTGTGAATATATGATGTTTCTTTTGATATTCTCATTTTTGCTGAAGGAATGAGAGCATAATCCATTTAGCATTGGCATAAAATAGACATTTTTATTTGACTGTTATCCTCTTTGGCCAGGTTTGTTTGCACGATAATTTCAAAGTGATTCGAGTCCTGAAATGCTGAAAATCAGCCTGTTTTGTATGTGGCTCAGCTTTCCCTTTCTCTGCTTCCTGAAAATCTGGAAATGTGTTTTTGATAGAGAGAGGATCAGCTCCAAATCATAAAACTAAATACCCTTCAAACTTCAGGGAATTCAAGCTGCCAACCAGACTTCAATCCTGAGTTTAGTAAATGTCAACACTCTTCCTTGGGCAGTGAAGTGGGGTGAAGGGAGAAGTGTTAAATAGGATGGAGAGCTGCTTTAATTACTTGAGTATTTTTTAGTTCTTTTTACTTAATTCAGGAACACTTGGTTATTTCATATCCTGTGACACTGCTTAGCCTTCTAATCTGGTGCTTTGGTTAGATGGAGAGAAGCAAAAAGACAGCTGATGATGAAACAGCATGGATGTTAGTACGTGACTACAAAAATGCCAGAAAGTTGTCCCATTTACACTCATAATTTGTAAGTATCTAGAAATCTAGAAATATGATTTGAGGCAGTGACTTCATCTAAAAAGAATTACCAGTTCAAATCATATTAGTGCATGGCTGCTGAACATGGCTTGGAATTATGGGTTTACTTATCAGCATTAATTGGATTAAATTACCTGCTCTGAAATATAAGCCCTTTGAGGAAAAACAATGCTTTTCCAGTTGGCTTTAGAAATGTTCAGACAGGCTTTGTTTTAAAGTAGCATGAAGGTGAGTTTGAACACACTGAGTGTACGAAATGGTTGCCAGGGTGTGGTTAGAAGGGGCAGCGTTTGGTCTGGAAGGGGCTTTTTGCTGTCAGACTTCCCAGGTGAAGAACAGAGCCCCAGCCGGGCTGTGACACTGTGGAGCAGTGACTGGGCCAGGTGCAGAGGAGGTGGGGAATAGCCCCATGAGATGGCTGGGACGCTGTGAGCCCCATCCACAAGCAAGGGAGAGCAGGGCAGGGCATCCAGTGAGAGAAACAAAGCAGCATGAGGACAGCGCAGGCACAGCACTTCAGGAAAGTGAGGGTGCCCACAAATTCAGTTACCCATTGCCTAGAATAAGGGACACCGAGGAGACAAAGTGACTCCATGGATCAACGTTTGCAGTCCTCTCTATTTGCAATTACATGGAACCAGTAACTTGACATTTCTAACTTGGATGTGCTTTTACATACAAACAATATCTTCTAAATATCCCCCACATACCCCAGCAAATATTTTCTTTGTTTTGCTTTTTTGCTACGAGTAAAATCTTAAAATCTGTATTTGATGCTCATCTTTATTATTGTGCTTCATCAGTGACCACCAGACTGCAATGTGATGTGGCTAGATACACTTTTAATCCAAGAGTATGATTGCTATAATTTAACTAAGTATTTTTATTTCCCCAAACAATTTTTTGCACTGTAAAAGTCTGATGCATTGTGCATGAAATGTGTCTTTTCAGGACAGCCACCAGCACTTTCTGTCATGCATGTTCATATGTTACTGACAGGAATTTCTTTACCTGTTGATTCACGCTAACTTGTTTCATTGTGTAGTTGAGCACCTTATTTCGTAATGCCATACTTAGGATCAGTTCATTCTGACAACCTGATGTTGTCAGAACATCTTGAGGCATACATATAAAGACATTGAGCCATGCACTTATTGGTCAGAGCAGGAAGCCCTGTGAGTCTTTACTTCCAAGTGACACTGTCATTAAATAACTGGCAGAGCTGAAGGCAGGATGCAGAATGGAGGTTAGGAAAAATCATAAAATAAGATTGATAGCTACTTGCTGTGAGAAAGTCAATGGGCAATGCTCACTGGTGTAATTTCCCTCCATTTACTACAATTTCCGTATTTAATATTGCAATTAAACCACATAACCAAAAGTCTTCACTTCTACAAAAAATACCATTCCATGAAGCTTCATCATACTAACTGTATATCACATGCCGCCTTTTCTGTCCCTAACTTTCCCTTTCTCATCTTTGAAAATTATGCACTCTGGATCCTAGCAATTCCTGTCTGAAATACTGAAGAGTAGTGACACAAGGGTGCTGTGAATTGTGCAAGAAATGGCTCTGTTAGTGCAGAGTAAACAACAGGAGACAAATTTGCCTTGCAAACACAATATAATTTGGAAACAAATGTCCATTAACCTATAGTTAGGTGAAATCATATTTAAAGTGTTTGCCTTACTAAAGGGTGTTGCTAAAGAGAGGGTGCTAAGAGCTCGGTGGTAGCTGAGCACCAAAGTGCTTAATTCGAAATGGTTTGATTATTGCAGGGCACACTTACAAGAACTTTGGCTTGGGAGTGTTAATGTATTTGCTTGTTTTACATCTGAACAACAGTTTCCCAGGGAACCATGTACTGTCATTTGTGTGGAGAAAAAAGTGAGAGGAACCCAGAGTCTGTTAGAAGTGGAGCTGGCTGTTGTATGACCCCTTGTAAGATACCATATTCAGCTACTTGTAGCTTCGTTGAACTGGAATAACTTATGTTGAAGTCTTTTTCAAGTGATAGAAATGGAAAAAATCTATCCCATACTTTGGAGTGGTGTGGACATAAACAGTGAAACATAGGAACCTTCAGGTTAAATGGCAGTGGCTCCCTGACTCTCAGACATACACCATCATCAATTCCTCTTACCCATAATTAGAGGTAATCTCGATCTTGCCCTGTATCCCGTAAGGGTGCACACCGTTTTGAAAACTGCCCCTACAAGTGCTATAATTCATAGGGTGCACAGTGGGGTGTTTGATTATCTAGCAGTTGCTGTCTAAAGCAGCTAGGATGTAATTATCCTCGTCACAGAGAGGAAGTGATACAAAAGGGAAGCCTTTTTTCTGACAATTAGAAATGGTGACAAGAACAATGTATGATCTTCAATGAAACCAAACTTTTTTTATGTTACAACAGTAATGACACCAAAAAAAACTAATTCAGGCTTATGTTTTGTTGAAATCATGTATTTGATTAACAGTTACGTTCCTACTTTGTTTTTCAAAAACTAGGGGCTCAGAAGTTATTCTTGTGCATTTGTTCTTTAAATCTTTTGAAACTAACAACCCTTCATCTCCAGTCTATCATCTCTGTCATCGTTTTAGCTTGATGTTGCTTCCTTTTCCTGCTCGAATTTTTCTATCACAAGGCAGAGCTGAGAAGATGGGATTTGGCCCATTCATTGAGACCTGCTTGCTTGTACTGAACATGAGACATGGAAAATTACTTTGTAGTTTGATTAATTTTCATAGAGTTTACTTCACTTGTTGGCTGAAACCAGTCAGCAGTAGGTAATTCATAACTTTCCTCAAACCCTTTCACCCAGCCCCACGTGGTACTTGGAGGTCAGAAAAACACATTCCCTGTGTAAGAAATGATCCAATCCTGTCATGGCTTTGGTGCCAGCAGTGTCCTCTCTGTCAGGTGCAATGCTCTCTTTGCACCAGGACAGCTCTGCAGGTGGTGGGCAGGCTGTGGGAAGGCACACTGGAGAACCCCTCTGATGCACATGGGAAGTTGGGATCATGCATGGCATCATATGCGAGCAATGACCTTCCTCAGATCAGTCTCACAAAGAGGCTCCAGATGAAATCTGGTAGAATAATTTCCATGCATACAGTCCGAGCCTTGAAAACTTTTCACTTGTTTGAAGTGGGCAACACTAATCTGATCAAAGGTTTCAAAGGAAAAAAGAGAAGCAAATACTGTTTTGAACCTATATTCAAGGAAGAGAACATTTCTGTTATAAATACACCATAGCATTATTTGAACTAAGAAATTTGTGTAAAGGGGGGTCAGTATGGGCATTTAACTTGCCATTATTTTGGTTTTCTCTTTCTTTCTTCCTTGACAAAACAAAACAAAACAAAACAACAAAAAAACCAAAAACCACAACTTTAATTGTGACTTTTATATTTTCAGGGATTAAGCACCTGAAGAGCCAGAGTGATTCAGTGTTTCCAGAAGAAGAAGAGGGAGTTGGTGAAAGGGAAGAGGAGTGGGGCCATTAACCAGGGCAGAGCTGTCCCGAGCCCCATCACAGAGAGTAACTGAACTGTGGGGCCATGCGTGTGCCAGACCCTCCACCGCCTGCTCCATGTGCCTCCGGGGCTCCCTGGGAAGTGCCCTCAAATGGGCTTCACAGACACCTGCAAATGTGTCCTGTGACCCCTATACCTGAAGATAAAACAGTTATTTTAAAGTCATTTTTCTTTCATTTTCTATGACTTAGAAACGTAATCTGCAAATGTGTTAGCTACCTGACATCAGTACTGCCAGAGCTTAACTACTGTGTGTGAGCTGTACTCTAAGGCTTGTTGTAAATAAAACTGATTTCAAATGTGCAAAATAAATAATATGTTAATTTCGACAAGACTGTCTATTGTACAGAGGGTTTGTCTAGCGCACAGAGAAATATTCATATAAAATGATCCTTTCAGTTAAGGGCAGTTTTTACCAATGTTGGTAGAGTTACTTGCAGTAATGTGGATAGAAAGAAAGTAACAAAGTAAGCAGAGGTGACTCTTTGTCTGTAGAAGGATGCAAAGACACTCTTCTCTGTGTTCCCTGGACACTTAAAGTGCTTTTCTTGCTTTTGGTCCGAGGCTGCCTAGTCACAGCAGCCAAAATGATTTGTTATCTGGAGGCATTAGAAAAGGTTTCACTTTGGGAGTCAGAGGTAACACAGGCATGTGGGAGCTGTAAGAAGGATTCCATGCACCAGCTGAGCCGTGGGAAATGCCGATATCCACCTTCATCACCTGCAGCAAGTAGAGTTACAGCCTTCTCTGCCTGCATTTGTCACAATTTCAGTCAGTAAGTGACAGCATATCAAGCTGCAGAAATTTAACTTGTGTCTGAGCCCTAGGTTTATGGTTGAAGTCTGTCATGGTTCATACCAACCTTTTCATTTGTCAGACTGTGCAAACTCTATGGCATAAAATGAAATAAGATGGAGAAGGAAAAACATGTTTTGTCAAAGTGACACCTAACAGATTATTTGCATTTTTTATCAATGGCAAATTTTTTAACGAATTCACTGTCATTTTGTATTAACTGTTTGCCTTTGATACAAAGTTTTACCCTCAGTTTAACTTTCCCCTGCTTTAAGTCTCTTTTAAAGGGTTGAGCTAGCAGAAAAAAAAAAGAAAAGAGATGACTTATATGAAAACACAGAGCCTTTTGTCTATGTCTTGCACGGTGATTTCACTTTTAATTTGAGGTCTTCCACAAAGACTTGCTGAGAACAGAATCTGTCAACAAGTGTTCTTTTATATTTGAGAGCCATTTTTTTTCTCTCCATCTGTATCTCTGTATCTATCCTTTTTGGTTCCATTTTCAGTAGAAACATTGCAAGCAGGATCCATGACTCCAGCTCAGCAAGGGTATGCAAGAAGGACTAAAAGAAGGACTCTTCAGTTATACAGAAGCAGCTATGGGACTTAGAGGACTGGGAGCTTTTTATGTCACAAACAACAAAAAGATGGAAATGACCCTTCAGAAACTGTTTGAATGGCCCCAAGTTAGGACTGTAACGGCAGCAAGAAGAGCTGGGCTCCAGTCCCAGCTTTGCCATGGCTTCGCTTTTGTTCAGCACCAGGCCCTTCCCATATTTGCTCACGGCCACAGTACTCCCAAGTTGTGAATCAGTCATTGGTGTTTAACCTCACACCCTCCCTCTGTGTTGCTAGCTAATAAAGCACTTTGGATACTAATGGCTTTTTGCTGGTTATTAGTACCCACAGGCTCCAGATGAGAACTCTCTAGGACCTATGGGCAGATGAAAACATGTACATGATTTATAACAGCTGATACCAGGAAAAGGTATTGAACACTTTGGAATCTCAGCATTTTAAAGGCAACACACAAAACACCTGATAAGAGCTTGGAGAGTTCATCACTGAACACTCTGTTTCAGGATGACTGTTGGACCTGAGTATGATTACACTTTAAAAATAATAGGGAAAAAACCCCAACCAGATTTAGTTTGAACTGGATCTGAGTGTTTCCAGAATTATAACTGCAGCAATGCAAGGACAACAATTCTATTTTGCAGAATTTGTGATCTGGATGAATCATCATAGTCCAGTAAGAGTGTCAGATAGCCATGCCAATATTTAGATACATCCCTAAATCCAGATCTTATCATCTCCCCATGTCTAATAATTCCACCTTTGTTTTATCATGTTAAAAGCCCATTTCTTTCTCTCTTTATTTACACAAATTTATGCAAGATGCATATCTGAGTATAGGAACTCATTTCTGGCAAAGGGCAGGACTTGTTGCAGAGATTTTATTATGGATCCACCCTGACATCATTTGCTGGTAGGACCTCATCTGAACAACAAAGTCAAGATGCTCATATTTTTTATACATTCACCTTTTGTAGCTTAAAACAGAAATTCTGTTTGTCTAATCTTCCACGTGTGAGGCATACAGAAAGTGGAGTTATAGGGAAAGTGCTTGTCATGAAGCAGAGCTGAAATACTGCAGTGTATTGACAGCGAGCCTCGTGGCAGAAATGTTTGGGTGTGTGGATATCAGAGAGGAAGGTCAGGAAAAGCAGTCTGTTTACTAAACCAGGTCTTTGCTGGGTTTTGGTGCAGCTGCTGACATTTAAGAACAACAGCCTTAGGTAGAGAGCCTCCCATATGCTTTGGCATGTAACTGAAAGCTCTCTTTGTCTCACAGCATGGTGAACTCCTCATAGGTGCACTCCACGATGTAGATTTCTTTGTGGGAGTCCATGGTCAGTCATTGTCCAATGTGTTTATGTTGCCAAGCACAGACGAAAACAAACACAAAAATCCATTAATGTCGCTTTTTGTTTTAGTGTAAACAAATCAACAGGGGATTGAGAAACTACACAAAAAGTTAGTAAACACCAGGTGTCTCAAAGAAAATGCCAATATGAAAACATCCTAAAGAAAAACTGTGATGATATGTTCCCTATCTGAGCTGTCTCCTCTCACAACACCTGCTTCTTCTGGGGAGTTCTACAGGTTTGGTGGAAGCAAGATTTTTACTGAGTTGTATTAGTTTGTTTCCCACAAACAGGCTGATGGAAAAAGAGAGCAGAAAAAGGCTTTCCAGGCAAGTAATGAACACAGTTCTTTCTTAAAGAGCAACTCCGATTTGTATCTTTTCCCCTTCCCCAGTCCATGTTCTTATATTTGCCACTTTTCCCTCCTGTGGTATGTTTGCTGCTGTTCTTGCTTTCAAGTTGTTGCAGGAAATGTTACTTGCAGAATTGAAAGAAAGCTGTTGCCTCAGACTGATCTCAGTCTGCTCCTGGTATCCCTTAACTCACTAATGCAGAGTGGTTTAGAGGTGTTTCATTATTGTGTTTTACAGCCTTATTTCTTATGCTACACTCTTTATTCCATGACAGGTTCTTCACTCCTGAGAGATTTACTGAGAGATTGTGCTAATAAGTTATCTGGAAAAATTACATGATTTGACTTTGAGGATGGTATATGTTGTTTATTCTCCACGTGCAAAACCAGATAATACTTAAATAGATATTAAGATTCAAGATTTAAAACTCCTTTCTGAAGCATAATTTCCACTGAACTCAAAGGAATTTTGCTTGAGAAAGACCCCAGGTTTTGGCCAACAACATACCTTCCTTCGGGGAAATATAATGTTTAGTATACAGGAAAGTTTTTATTATCCTGCTATCAGTTTAATTATTGAATTTCTTTCCTTATTTTTTTTTTAATATTGCTATGAATTCTGCTAAAGTCTTCAAGGACTTACCCAGTTTCTTCTTATAATGTCATCAGTTCTCCTCAGTAATGTAAACTGAAAAATCACCATTAGTTCTTGTACTGTTGGTGTTATTTAACCAAAACTGTTACAGCCAACATTACTGTTCTTACTCCAAGGTGGTGTTGCAAGCAGAGGTTCTGTTGCCAGGGACTCCCACAGTGCCCAGGATCCAGGCAATCAGTAAGGAAGGGACTTCCAGTTCATCTGCATTTCCTCTAACAGAATATGACACCGGGGACCAGGCGAGTGGTGGCTTTTGCTCTTAAAAAAAAAAAAAAGCATTTATTTTATTCCAGAAGGCAAAGTATTGGGTGGCTGCCACAGCTCTCTCCAGAGATGAGCTGGGTAGGCTGCAGTGCTGTGGGTAGCTGGGGAGGGACCTTAACAGGGCTTCTGCAGGTCTGCTTTTGTTTAAGCCTAGCAGCTAGCACTATACAACGAAATGTCCCCAACTCAGTGCAGGGTTCCCCTCCTCCTATTTTTTCTCTTAAGACATGTTTGGTTTATGAGGGACCTTATTCCTGTACTACATAAGGCATTGTCTCTCCTCTAACCCTGGGGCATGCTGTCCAGGGACATGCTGTCCCTCAAGACCCTCTTTCTCCCAATCCTATTGCATTCATGTTGCTCCTTAGGCCCACAGATGTTCTTTCTTTTCTTTCTTTCTTTCTTTCTTTCTTTCTTTCTTTCTCTTCAGCTCAGTGCAATGGTGAGCTCCAGAAAGAGCCTCAGTTGTTCTGTTGATTCCTGACGTGCAATTACATCTAACCTTTTCATGCACAGCGTTATACTTGGTAACAAAGTGGATGCTAAATGCTTCCTATGCTTTGGTATATTCTCCCCTTTGTCCTCCAGTGAGGATAGCAGCACTCTGAGCAAATCTCCAGCAAGACATTTTGCACCCTCTACTAAACCTCAGGCCACTTGGTAAGATGCTGCTAATCTCCAGTTACATCGAGGTGGGCTGATGGAGTTTATACAAGTTCAGTGCCTACATTCTGCTACAGATTTTTTGTTTTATTTCTTAAGTAATCTTGGGTTTTTAGGGCAGAAAAATTATTTTGTAATACTGTCAAGACAAACATACTCTTTCAATTTTGTAATAACTCATTTGCCTAGTATATACTGACCCTTAGTGGTAAGCTGAGATTTTAATTGCATTGCCAAGTTCCTTAATTTTGCTTCTCTCTTTGGTCCAACTGTTCAGAAAATGGCAGGAATATTTGCTGTGCATCAGGATAGTCTATCTATGTAAATAGCCCACAATGTCTTCAACAGACATTAACAGGCATGTGAAAATAATGATGACAGGTGTTATTAGCTCTTCTGAAGGGAGGGCTGTGGTAAGCAGGAGTGTCGAAAGGTTATTCCAAAATGCAAAACAAAAACGTTGTCATTGAGAAGCAATACTCTCCACATAATGAGAAACAAATAAGAACTCAGTATCTGGCACTAACGAACACCTCAAGCTAACTGTGGAATGGGTATTAATTAGGTTTCCAAAATAGCATCTTTCTGAAAAGCAGCTGAGGTGTAATATTGCTCCTTATTAATCAAAGCAATGGGACAATGTGAACCCTGCAAAAAATAAATGGTTTGCAG